GTTAAAAGAGCCAGCAGGCAGCTGGTTCCACAACCATCAAATCTCACAGAACTGGACAGTGCTATTCATCATGCATGGTGTCAGATTCCTCACATCACCTTTCAACATCTCATGGTGTCAATGCCAAGAAGAATCACCGAGGTATTGAAGGCAAAAGGTGGCAATGAAGTACTGATGGGGTGGTCATAATAATCTGGCCACTCAGTGTATAAGAAGCCAGCTGAAGATGGATAACTACATTGCCACAGAGAGGAGAATCTGAAATATCTGAAGAAGCAGGTACTTGAGGCTGCTAATCAGTAATGAGAAATCAGGTTAGTCTCTAGGCCAGGAATCAGAAACCAGGAACGTTGCAAGAGTAGGAGATAATTCAAACTTTAAAGATGATGACAAAGTTATATCAAGGCAAATCAAGAAACAGGAAGCCCTTAAAATGGTGGTGTAACTTATGCCCAGTTTTTATAAAGGAGGGCTTCCATTTTCTTGCTGGGAAATTGCACTGAACTATGTCATCACCTCCACCACCTGTACACCTTCCAGAAAGAAAGGCAAGGTCAGAGTTTAGAGAGTGGTCCATGTTGCACAGCAGATAGATGAGGTTGTGCACATAGACAACTCCTGGCCAGGTCTAGTCTTTAAGCCCACAATCTATAGTTCAAAAAGTCTCCATTCATCCAGGAGGTAGAAGTCCAAGATGGGCCAAAGGGCAACTCCTTGTTTCCCTTAAGTATGATGAACAGGACTGGTTAAATGATTTGGGGGGCTCCATGCAAAATAAAATGGTAAGGACCCTTGTTCACAAAATATTAAGAATTTCAGGGTGGCAACAGGTAAACATTTAAGCATGTGCTCATGAAGTTGGCCCTGATCCTGGGTCACTTTGGTAATGGTGAAACTTGTCCTAAGTATTACTTTCCTCTATTTCATCCAGATTCTCACTTGAATTATTCACCTATAAATACACTTTGAAAGATAGGAAAATAATTGGCTTTTTGTCTGATGACCACAGACCTGTTAAGTACAGACTCTCTGGAACCTGGAAACTTAAGACTCAGAGAAACGTGATTTCAATGACACCTCACTAATGAAACTTCATAGAAAGTGGCAGATGCTGTGAGAATAAGCATCATTGTTTCCAGGCATGATTAGCTGAATGAGCTAAATGATGCAACAAACAAGCAAAATTTCAATGGGTGCAGAAGCAACAGAAGTTTCTTGCTTATATCATAGTCTAGTGAAGACCTGTGAAGCTTTGGTTCCACATAGAGACCAAAGACCCTTCAGCGTTGTTGATCATCCTTACTTTAAAAAAACGATTTTCATCTCATGGTACACATAAACTAATTACTAAACTTCTGTGGCACACCAAAATATATATTTTGCCTATCTGACAAAAATAGGTATGCTTTTAATTCATTCATACTAGATGGCTATTGTTGTGTTGGCTGTTGTCATTTGTTTTTGTTTTTATTTTTATTTTTTGACAATCTAAGGGAAAAGAGGTCAGTGCCCCTGACTAAATAAATAGTCAGGTATTGCATGTTTTAAAAATTCTTGCTGCACAATGAAAATCACTGCTCTAGAGCCTTACAGTTGACTCCATTTAGTTGGTAGATGGAGAAAGAGAGCAAGAATCTGTGTAGGAAGTCTTCATGGGCCAAGCCTGGAAGTGGTCACACTTTTACTCACATTCCTTTGTCTGTAACTCACTTAGATGAACACATCTATCCATAGAAGAGACTAGAAAGCATTGCTCTGTGACCATGAAGAAAAGAACATGAGCCCTAGCCAGGTTAGCTCTGTGGAAAGATTGTTGGCCTGTGGACTGAGGTGTGCAGGGGGCAGCCAATCAATGATTCTCTCTCATCATTGATGTTTCTCTTTCTCTCTCCCTCTCCCTTCTTCTCTGAAATCAATAAAAATATATCTTTTAAAAAACATGAATATTAATACCAACAATCTTTACCACATGAAGACTACTGATGGTAGCTCTTGATCAAAAGCAGTTCTAATTTCTGTTTTAGAGAAGAATTACTCCTTTCCTTCTTGCTCTCCTTTCCATCATTAAAGAGATATTTGACAGGAGCCTACAATATGGCCTATGGTGAGTACCCAGGAATATAATGCTGATAATAAAACCTGCACCAGGGAAAACTATTCACAAATGGAAGCACAGAAAAAGAGGACAATATATGCCTTTTAAGACAAGGCCAGATCCTCAGTACCTATCTGTCAAATTAAAGAAATATGCGTTTTATTGAGAACATACTGATTTTTCCCTAAATAGTATTTTCTCTCAAGAGAAGGTTCAGTGGGATCCCACCAAAGCCAAACCTCCGTGAATTGTGGGTGTCAGAAGTGATCTCTAAAGTTCTTTCTGGCTCAAGTATTCTAAGATTTTATGTTCGTGAAAAGCAAAGCCAGGATACCAGTTAAGAAGGCTGGACAAGAGCCAAGGAATAACATGTGAATGAGAATCAGCAATAGCAGATTGGAATTTAGGGGCAAGAGCTGGCAGAATGGAGAGCCCACTGAGTGACTTGGGAACTATTTTCTGACTTAAAAAATATTATGATGGTGAAGCAGTTGAGTAGAACAGTGCTTGGAACATAGTACCTAAACTTGTGAGCATCAGAAGTCCTCAACTTTGGCATACGTAAGAATCATATCAGGAAGTTGTTTAAAATACAGATTCCCTACCCAGAATTTCTGATTCCATATATTAAGGGCAGGAATCAGGAATATGTGTTTTTTATCAAGAGCTTCTAGGTTACTGTGTCTCAGAAATGTTGTGGTTGAGATTAAATGTTCCAAACAGCTACTGACTCTAGTAAGAAAGCTCAGTGGAGTCAGGCATCCCAGGCTTTTTCTCTCCTGTAAGGTGTCACGTGGCAGATCAGAGGTGATCGTGCCCTGTTTCAATTTTTCAACGCACCTTAGTGCTATGGCTTGCCATTCCCATAGCTTTACTTCGTTGCCAGTATTTGCAGAGTAGTTATGAGAAGAAGAGAGACTGCAATCACATTTCCCAGCTGGATCTTAGTGTTGGCACACATCTGGATTAAAAATTAGGGAAGACGAATCAATCCAAGAGACAGCTGTTTCCCAATATCTCACTGTTTAACACTGGGGACAACACATCTGGGTTTAGGACTCTTCACTTACCTCTTTGAGCTGGAAAGTATAGATTCACACAGGCAGTGTTTTTCTCACTTTAGTTTGCCAAAGCACTTTCCCAGTAAGGTTGACTGGTACTCAGAGCTTCTCCTGGGGATAGAATATTAGGTGCATTTCACAGACCACACACTTGGGCTGCCTAGAGCTTCAGATAATGCTAAGAATGCTCTCTGCCTGTGACCACCAGAACATGGTATGCAGCTGCTTTATCTCCTTCCATACTTCTCAGATGACACTGGGGAAATTATTTGCCTTTCAGGGATTGCCCTGGACCCTTATTGTTGCCCAATTTCATCTGGAAACAGATACTAATGGTGGGGGGTCCTAAGGAACCATCAGATCCACGACATACTCAAGAACAACATTTAGGATCTCAGATCCCACCCACCAATTCCTATTACACTGCACCTTCTTATTTCTGATATTCTTTTTTTTACTTCAATTTCATAAATTGAACCAGCTGCTATGGTAGAATCCTTAGTGAATTGATGCCCAGTGAAATGATGCTTATAAACTGTAGATTCTGAAAATATAACTGGAATACCCTTTTTTTGTTGCACCTGTATCTCTGAAAAAGAAAATGTTTAAAGTTTCAGCTTTACTTAAAGAGGTTGCCAACTTTCCTTTTGAATGTGGCAGACTGCACAGTTAATTGAGGCTTCTGATGACCAATGGGATGGATTATCCCATCAAGTTATGGGATCTCTGGGTTTTGGAAAAAAAGGTCTGGTTGAAGTCCAATTGCAAAAAAAGAAAAAAAGAAAAAGAAAAAAGAAATTAGTTAGATATACTACCTCAAATGAGGACAAACCTTGCATGTTATTTTATTCCTGTACAGAGAAACTCATTGTATCCAGCTCACATTGATTTATGGGGTATTTCTGCCAAGTGGAATATTCATTTCTGCCCACACCGAGGACCACTCCAGAGGCAAGGTAAGCAGAGTCTTCAAGTTTTCACATTGTCCTGTTCACTGCGGGGTAGACAAGGGGACGAAGTGGAACATGTGGGAAGCTGCTATACATGACTCTCTTCGGCTGCCGTTCCATATCTCAGGAAGTAATGTCACATAGATAATTATTATTCACAAAGCAACATAACCAGGAACAGCTCCATATCCTATATCTACAATGGCAACCAGTGTTCAGCCATGGTTGAAATAACATTTTTACAAGCGTTTGGGCTTCCATAATTAGAGATAGTGCCCTGCCTTCCATTGAACAGCTGAGTAGCAAAAACTGATGAGTAGTATAGACATACCTCAATTTATTGTGCCTTGCTTTATTGCATTTCACAGATACTGTGTATTTTACAAATTGAAGGCAAGATATTCCACCAGCAAAAAGATTAAGACTCGCTGTATTATTGGTCTGTAACCCAACCTGCAATACCTCTGAAGTATGGCTGCATCCACCAAGTAACTAGGAACAGCAGAGCAAAGGGAAGATAGGCAAAAGAGTAGAGAATGAGACACATTAATGCCTCATTAGGCCTAATTCACTCTGAATTTATTAGTTCATTCATTCATTCAATAAGTATTTGTTAAGTACTATGCCAGACATTGAAAATGTAATAGTAAGCAAGACTCATTGATAGAACATTGAGTGTCATAATTATATATATATATATATATATATATAGTTCTTGGTATAGTTACTGGACATAGTAAACTCTGCAAAGATATAATTGATACTATTGTTTCTATTATTTTTACTCTTAAACTATTATTACTAGTATACTATTACCACTCTGATTATTTTTGTAATTATTTGGGACTTAAAGGATGGGTAGGTGAGGATGGAGATCATGTT